GACTCGATATTTATGCTGCTGTATTCATGGCTGACCTGCCCAAACATTTCTAGAAACTGGGCAGCAATATCTCCTTGAGAAAATCCTCACCAATGTGTTTATCTTATTACATGTCAGGTCCAATAAAACACTGTATGATGACGTATCGTTGATTCCTCTTCCTGCGGACTATCAGCCATCTGTTCAACAACTCCCTGGTACAGGGACTGGGCTTGACAAAGGTAAGATGAGGGGACAGATTATGCGTGTAACATGAAAGACGTTTAAGATCAACACTAGCTCTGAGAATTTCTTGTAAAATTGTTCTGGAAAAACCTCACGATTTTGATAACTTTTGAACAGAGCTCAGTCACGGTATTTTGAGTTATTTTGGCCATGTACAAAATTACCTTTAAATTGGAGAAAACCGAAAATAATAGTTCACTAAGATAGAAAACCACCAAAGAGATAATAATAAACCATAAAGGAACAAAGATGGTTGATGATGGAGAAGATTAACACGGATTACAAACAACGAACTTGACAAATTTAGGCTAAACTTTTCAAGACGCACAAACCTGTAGGAAATAAATCGCCAATCGCTAATCATCTAAAGGTTTCAGTTGAACTGAGCAAAAACCTTCTAGAAATTGAAGAAATAACTTATTAATTGAATAATAGCTTATCCGGGGGAAATGCATGTAAATAAATTTTCCACATTCTGTAGAATTTGGCGACGAAAAGGAATCAGCGACCACAGGTGGAGAGGATAAAACCCCTGCTGCTGTCAACACGGCAAGTTATAAGAGCCCTGATCAACTATCAGATGAGCTGGTGACATTGTCTCTTTTGCCTCAATCAAGATGGCGACATCTTACCAGCTTAGAACTTATAAAGGTAACTTGATTTCGCAGCCATTGTTGTTACCCACCCTCCCCTCCCATGCAGAACTAAGGTGCCTCTTGTTAGCAAATTTAAACTTCCACTAGAACATCAGAAAGAGATGTTTTAGGATTTTCCCTGTTTTAGGCAAGTGGTCCAGTTATTTGTGATGCTGTTTCTGTGCTGTCGGCTTAAAAGAGCACCACCCAATTTTTGCCAATAAGTACTGAATAGGGAACAATTTAGAGCAGTTTTCAATTGACTAGCAAAACTAGTTTGTCAAGCTCTGCAATTGTGTTCAGAAAACATGTGCAATGTGGCTGACCAATCAGAGCTTTCATGCGGTTTTCGCAACCAATGGCGACTCAGCTCACACTCATTTTTCCCGCGCTTGACGCTGGTTGCCTGCTTTGTGCTTCACTTTGTGATTGGTTCATTGCATTATAGTAGCTACTTGTCCTGTGATTGGCCAGATTCGATAACTTTAGTCTTGGATTTATGAGAGGTGTTGGAAAACCGCCGCTAGTGACCAGGATAACCTTGACTTCTTTTTCAGAAAAGAAACAAGCCAAAAGAGCCGCCCAAAGCACCAAAAGCTGCGCCGTTTTTTCTACCCACCACACAAGAACTAGTTCCTAAATTTCTTCAAACTGATGAAGATCAACCAGATGACACGGTGAGTTATCCCAGTCGGGCAAAGTTATATTACTCTCTGGTATTTGGTTTTCATTGCAACCAAGCAACAAATGCGTTTTTGTCATCTCCCTGTCAAACACGAGTAAAGATAATGTTGTATCTGTGGGTAACAAAGAAAGAGATAGCGGGGAACATGAATCATGGTCCACCAAGACGTGACATTTGGTGTTCTGGAGGGCCCTTGCAGAGAGACCCTTTTCAAGATGCACATATGGGCTGAATATTATTGCATTGTGTCTTAACATACATGTATGGAAGACTCGGTTGGTAACTGTTTAGCGCCGGCTTTGGACTCCTGATCGAGTGCTCTGGGTTCAAGTCCAGGCCAGGTTATGATATTGTGTTATTGAGAGAGAAAACTTTCTCTTTGCTTACCTTACCGTGCTTTCACAGGAGGTCAAGTCCAAGATACTGAACATGACTCAGCTTCAACCGGACTCGGAATTTCAAAAGCTTTTAAAGGATTGTACGAGCGCTGAAAATTGTAAGTAGTTGACCATTGCGATGGAACAAGAATTTGTTTTACAGGTGAATATATGAAAGATCATATCTTCACAAACGATACGAAGACATGATTGATCATTGCAGCTATATATGCAACTTAAGACCTGTAAGACCAAGGGGAAATAAAGCTTGTTGTTGTTGTTAAGCAGTTGAAAAAAAAGCAGCTGTGAAATGAAAAAAAAAATTCAGGCTTGAATGAACCTGTGACCTCTGCAATACCGGTGCAGTGCTCTACCAACTGAGCTATCAAGCCAACTGTTTGCTTGATATAGCACTCCACTGATATCGCAGAGGTCATGGGTTTGAATCTCGTTGAAGCCCGAATTTTTTCAAGCTTTAATTTCACAGCCGCTTAAGTTGTTTATATAACTGCGATGATCAATCATGTCTTCATAAGAATTTGCTTTACAAGTCAGTCAACAGCTTCATGGTTTTTAAGTAGCAACTTGATGATCATGTGACACCATTTGTTTTGTAGATGAACCTGTGCTTGATTTACTCAAGTCTATGGGACCATCCTCTATTGATGCAGAGATCCGCTCTCTTGGTCCATCAGCTGGAGGAGATATCAAGCTCTTAGAGCTATTTATGCTGTTTATAGAGCGTCAGATAGGTTTACGCCGAGACTTTGAGTTCACAGAGGCTTTACTGGGGCTCTTTCTGAAAGTAAGTGACTTTAAGAGAGATAGAATTTTAAGAAAGTTAATCCACGTACAATCCTTAACTGTACAATCTTGCGAACCCTTAGGGGTACTCTACTACAATTTTGTTGTGAGAGTTTACCGCTGTCTTTGCAAACTCCTTTCTCCTATGTACATGAAGGCTATATAACCTTCTCCATAACCCCTTACCATACAATGTGGAGGCACGGTGGCCTCAGGGTTAGTGTGCTCATCTCTGGTTCAAGCCCTGGCCTTGGGGATATTGTGTTGTGTCCTTGAGCGCTTGAGCGAGACACC